ACCCCCCCCCCCCGGGATATTCTTTTGATAATACAAATCTGAAGAACTTTATTCGATTCACAAAGAATCTGAGAAGATCGGGAGGAAGAAAATGTTTTATTTTTTGGTCGTTCATTTCATACTAAAAGAATGAACTTCAATATATTTACTTCTACAAATCTCATATTTACCACTTTCAGCCAGCAGGCGGCTCGCCCGGCCAGCAGAGGAAGCCAGGCACAGGAAGTCTGATTTCCTTATAAAGATCAGAGGAGAGCTCAGCCGCCTGTTTTCTGAGGAGTATATCAAGGTGTGCTTCTTCCCAGTATCAGATTTCTGATGATTCATATGGAAGACTTTTCCCGCACTAAGGACACTACTACATCTCCAGCACTCAGGTCAGGAAAACAAATTGTTTTTCCCTTGTGTGGATTTTCTGATGTTTAATCAGACTTTCCCTCCTCGAAAAACAATTTCCACACTCAGGACAGCAATACGGTTTCTCACCCCTGTGGGATTTCAAATGTCTGGAAAGGTTGGACTTCTCTGAAAAACATTTCCCGCACTCGGGACAGGAATATGGCTTCTCCCCTGTGTGTTCAGACTGCACTTCTGTGAAAAGCATTTCCCGCACTCAGTGCAGGAATACGGCTTCTCCCGTGTGTGATATCTTTGATGTATCAGAAAGTCTGATTTCTGTGTATAACGTTTTCCACACTCGGGACAGCAATACGGTTTCTCGCCTGTGTGCAACCTCTGGTGTCTGCAGAGACTGAAGTTATCCGAAAAATATTTCCCGCACTCAGGGCAGGAATACAACTTCTCCCCCGTGTGAGATCTTTGATGTTGAGCTAGTTTGGATCTCGCTGAAAAACGTTCCCCGCACTCAGGACAGGAATACGGCTTCTCTCCCGTATGTGATCTCTGATGTCTGACTAGTGCCGACCTTTGAAAAAAACATTTCTCGCATTCAGCACAGGAATGGGGCTTCTCACCTGTGTGAGAACTGTAATGTATGGCGAGCTCCGATTTTTGGAGACAACATTTCCCGCACTCAGGGCATGAACATGGCTTCTCTCCTGTGTGTGATTTCTGATGTCTGTTAAGATTGAACTTCTGTGAAAAACATTGCTCACACTCAGGACAGGAATACGGCTTCTCACCTGTGTGGGACCTGTAATGTTTGATGAGTTCTGATTCATAGAGGAAACTTTTCCCGCACTCGGAACAGGAATGAATCTTCTCACCCGTGTGAGACCTCTGATGTTCAAAAAGACGTAATTCAGAGCTAAAACCTTCCCCGCACTCAGGACAGGAAAATGTCTCCTCCCCCTGAATTCCGGCACCATCCCCCACAGGACGAGGTCGCTCAGAGTCAGAGGGATTCCATGGTCTCTCCACACTGTGACGTCCACCATCCATAGCTGAGCTCATTGTCTCTTCTCCCGCACAATCTGCTGTGATGTCCTCATCTTCCATCTTACAACCTGGAGATAAAGTCAGACGATCCTTTGAGGGTTCCTCCATGGCGTGTCCTGGAAACATAGAAACACATGATGGAGAGATATGAGAGGGTTAGATGACTTCACTCAACATTCCATCTGGATCAGGAGGTCTGAGGGAGCAGATGTTCTATGAGGAGGTCCCAACTAGCCGGGACTGCTCCCCTCTTCAGTCAAAGGGCGTTTGGTCCTCCTCCCAGATCACTTCTACATTGACACAGCTTTGTCAGAAGAGGAGGAGCCAATGGGGACTGGGAGAAGCATACTCTTCCCCCAACCACAAGCCTAGGCACTGGGTCATGTGACCTCTAAGAAGCGAGAAGATCAGAGTATAGACTGGCAGTCCCTCCCGGATAACAGAAGAATATATTATGACCCACCTGTGCTGATCTCTGTAGGCGTGTCCTCCTCTATGGACGTCCTCCTCATCCCGGCCTCCTCCGTATATCGCTGATCATCCCTCACATACGTCTCTTCTACTTCACCCTCAACTTTCATCTTCATCAGATCTTCACCCTAAACCAACAGAACGGCAGAAAGTCTCATCTGTGACATAGAAGTATTTATGATGTGACATCACATAGAAGATCTCATCTTGTAGAGTCCACACGTCATCTCCACATGTCAGAGCGTTCCCGCCCCTCAACTCCACCCACCTGATCATGGAGGGGGATGGTGAGATCTTCCTGGGTGGGATCCCGGGAATACAGAGGGCGGGGACATCTCTCTGGTGGGTTCCTCTTACTAGGCTTCATCATAATGTCCATGTGTCCTTCAGAAAGCTCCTCCATCACACCGTACTCCTCGTCCTCCTCTTTATACTCTTCCTTAACAACAATATCAAAATCCCCGAAGTCTCCACTCTGAATATAAAATAAGACATTCATTGTAACAAAAGACACTTGTGTATAAATCTTAGCTGCCAATATTTGGTAACCATCTACCTGATCATGGTGGGGGATGGTGAGACCTTCCTGGGTGGAGTCCCGGGAATACAGAGGGCGGGGACATCTCTCATGGCGGGGGATGGTGAGATCTTCCTGGGTGGAGTCCCGGGAATACAGGGGGCGGGGACATCTCTCTGGTGGGTTCCTCTTACTGGATCCATCTGTAGGAAACACACACACTGACTGAATACATTGTTTCTATGTGTGTATCAGATGATGGGGGATGTAGGCGGAGCCTCCGTACTGCTCTCTCCTCTTACCCGGTGATGTGAGGGGCGGGGCATTCTCCAGGAATCCCAGAATCCAACTCACCCCTCCGGTCAGGTCATGTGACCTCCCAGAATCCTCCTCACCTCTCCGGTCAGCAGGTAGATGATCTCCAGGGTGAGGTTTAGTATCCTCTCGGTCATGTGACTCCGGTCCTCCTCCATCATTGGTCATGTGATCTTTGAAGGTTTCCCTGTAGACCAAGTATACGGGGGATAATATGAGGGTCAATTAAATGACAAGGAAAACGGAAAAGGTCCCCTTTATAGCCAACTCAACCTCCCATCCCCCGCACCCAAGAAAAGTCATATAATCCATTAGAATAGACTGATTAGGTGGAAAGCAAATATGTAAATATCAAATAATATCTTATTACCTCCTCTGCTGCCAGTTCCAGCAATGTCTCCTCTCCACTTCCTCCAAAATCACCTCACAGCTAGAACTTCTTATTTATAGGTGACACCACTTCCTGTGTCATAGAGACTTCCTGTCTGGGTATAGGTGAGATCACCACCTTGTGGAGCTCAGAGGAACTGCAGCCCCCAAGAAACGTCTCGTAGTGTGCCTTGTGTTCTAGTCAGGAGAGCCAGAAGATGCAATTATGAGTTATGAGTGTGTGTGTGTCCTCCTAGCCAATCACTAGGAGGTTCACTGACAGTGGTGCATGCTGGGGGAGGATATAAATATTCAGGGCTGACCTTGTGATCGTCTCTTCCCCCCCCCCCCCCCGGCCCATTCCGGGGGGGGGGGGTTGTTTTCT